TTGTGTATATATGTGGTTTTACACATGTATTTTTTGTCTTTTTTGGCTTTTTAAGTCTCTTCTGATGTGTTTTTCAGTGTTTTTAGGAGTGATGGTCACTTGTCAGCCTAACAGGTGTCTTGTGTCCAAATTTGGTGTCAATTTGTCCAGTGGTTTTTGGATTATGTTAATCCCACAAACGGACATTGCATTTTTATTTATATACGAGATTTTATTTATATTGTACTAGCCGTACCTGCCATGTGTTGCTGTGGCCCAGTCTGGTGATCTGGAAAATAAAGTAATGAGAAAGTGTTGGTTTCTAATATATGTAATTTCTTTATGCTTGTGGGTAAACAGTATTTCTTGTTGTTTCTTTGTCAGTGTTGATGTGGAGAGTGTCTGGTTTGCCTACTCTGGAATATGCAACATATAATTGTCCTTCTTTAGGGGTCCCTTTCAAATCTTTGATACTGAATCTGTCATATGGCTGGATGGCCCTTTGTCAGGAGGGCTTCATGTTTTCTTGCCCTGGTGAAGGGAGTTGGACTGGATGGCCTTAAGGCAGCATTTCTCAACCTGGGAAGTCAGGACCCCGGGGAGGGGGGGGGGGGCGTCATCAGGGTGTCAGAGGGGTCACCAAAGACCACCGAAAAACCCAGTATTTTCTGTTGGTCATGGGGGTTCTGTGTGGGATGTTTGACCCAGTTCCATTGTTGGTGGGGTTTGGAATGAATAAAATAATAAAAAAAACTTTATGTATTATTTATTCTTTATTTAAAGCATTTATATTCCACCCTTCTCACCCCGAAGGGGACTCAGGGTGGAGCACAACATATAAATGGCAAACATTCAATGCCGAAACATAATATACCATACACATACAAAAGCATTTAAATCACATATCTTGATGTTAAAATCCACTAGTTAAAACTGTCTCAACAACCATATCGAATTTGGTTGGCATACTAAGGGTTCCAATCGCTGCCTCATTGCACAGTCCCAAAGGTTCAGTCCCACAGCCATGTTTTTATTATCCTTCTAAAGGACAAGAGGGAGGGAGCTGACCTGATCGCATTATATCTCCCCAAGGGGACTCAGAGTGGTTCCCAGGTAATATCACAAAACATACAAAGTAAAACAACATAACCATAAGATTAAGATTAACAAAACAATATAAGCATACAATTGCTCTTTGATTGTAAGTGAACTATACATCCCAAATGTCAAGGTCTATTTTCCCCACACTCCATCTGTGTTCACATTTGGGCATATTGAGTATTCCTGTCAAGTTTGGCCAGATCCACGATTGTTTGAGTCCACAGTGCTCTCTGGATGTAGGTGAACTACAACTCCCAAACTCAAGATCAATGCCCACCAAACCGTTCCAGTATTTTCTGTTGGTCATGGGAGTCCTGTGTGCCAAGTTTGGTTCAATTCCATCATTGGTGGGGTTCAGAATGCTCTTTGATTGTAGGTGAACTATAAATCCCAGCAACTACAACTCCCAAATGACAAAATAATAATTTTTTGAGTGATGGTCACTCTTTGTGTTGTGAGACATTTTGTTGCCACATTTGGTGCAATTTTGTTCATCGGTTCTTTTGTTTTTAAGGTACTCATTATGCACAGAGCATTTATATATAGATAGTTTTAATAATTTGGTGTTCATGTATTTATCTATTTGCCTTGTATGTGAAAGACCTATGGAGCCCCTGGTGGCGCAGTGGGTTAAATCCGGGGAGAGCGCGGATGAGCTCCCTCTATCAGCTCCAGCTCCTCATGTGGGGACATGAGAGAAGCCTCCCACAAGGATGATAAAACATCAAAACATCCGGGTCCCCTGGGCAATGTCCTTGCAGACGGCCAATTCTCTCACACCAGAAGTGACTTGCAGTTTCTCATGAGCAACCAGACAATTGTATTACATTTCTAACAGAACAAAACAAACAAACAGACAAAACACAAAATTTGCAAGCTTGGTAGTTGATTAAATGTCCTTTGACCAGTATCTGGCCACTTGGAGTGCCTCTGGTGTTGCCGCAAGAAGGTCCTCATTGTGCATGTGGCAGGGCTCAGGTTGCATTGCAGCAGGTGGTCAGTGGTTTGCTCTTCTCCACACTCGCATGTTGTCGATTCCACTTTGTGGCCCCATTTCTTAAGATTGGCTCTGCATCTCGTGGTACCTTCCAAGTCGCCCTGTTTACTGTGTGCCCAGGAGGAAGTCTCTCATCTGGTATCACCCACGGATTGAGGTGCTGGGTTTGAGCCTGCCAATTTTGAACTCTCGCTTGCTGAGGTGTTCCAGCGAGTGTCTCTGTAGATCTTAGAAAACTATTTCTAGATTTAAGTTGTTGACGTGCTGGCTGATACCCAAACAAGGGATGAGCTGGAGATGTCACTGCCTTGGTCCTTTCACTATTGGCTGCTACTTCCCGGCGGATGTCAGGTGGTGCAATACCGGCTAAGCAGTGTAATTTCTCCAGTGGTGTAGGGTGCAGACACCCCGTGATAATGCGGCATGTCTCATTAAGAGCCACATCCACTGTTTTAGTGTGGTGAGATGTGTTCCACACTGGGCATGCATACTCAGCAGCAGAGTAGCATAGCGCAAGGGCAGATGTCTTCACTGTGTCTGGTTGTGATCCCCAGGTTGTGCCAGTCAGCTTTCGTATGATATTGTTTCTAGCGCCCACTTTTTGCTTGATGTTCAGGCAGTGCTTCTTGTAGGTCAGAGCACGGTCCAGAGTGACTCCCAGGTATTTGGGTGCGCTGCAATGCTCCAGTGGGATTCCTTCCCAGGTAATCCTCAGACCTTGGGATGCTTGTCTGTTCTTAAGGTGAAAGGCACATGTCTGTGTTTTAGATGGATTAGGGATCAGTTGGTTTTCCCTGTAATTTTAATAAATTTTAATAAATGTAATTTTAATTTTTTGGAGTGACTTGAGAAACTGCAAGTTGCTTCTGCTGTAAGAGAATTTGCCATCTGCAAGGACGTTGCCCAGGGATGCCTGGATGTTTGATGTTTTACCATCCTGTGGGAGGCTTCTCTCATGTCCCGCATGAGGAGCTGGAGCTGATAGAGGGAGCTCATCCGCCTCTCCCCGGATTCGAACCTGTGACCTGTCGGTCTTCAGTCCTGCCGGCACAGGGGTTTAACCCACTGCGCCACCGGGGGCTCGGTTTTCCCTGTAATAGGTTTTCCCTGTAATAGGTAGTAAGAGCACCTAGAGCTTCAGAGAGCTTCTGTTCAACCATCTCAAAGCTCCCTGCTTGAGTGGTAACATCAGAAGTGACTTGCAGTTTCTCAAGTTGCTCCAGACACGACCAAAAAAAAAAAGAAGCTTGGAATAAACTAACTTACTTTACTTAGTTACTTACTTTATTTACTTAGGCAATCCCTCGTTTTCCGAGGATGATTGTCTTCCAGTATTCTTGTGGGTCCGTATGTGGCTGTGGAGCCCTATTCTTGCTCTGCATCTTCTTCCGCAGTGAGGGCATTGGTTTCCAGGTGGAAGGCGGTCTCGGTCGGGGTTGGCTTGACGCGCCTTCCTCTTGGCACACTTCTCCCTTTCGCCCTCCATTCGTGCCTCTTCAAATTCTGCAGCACTGCTCTCACAGCTGACCTCCAGCTGGAGCGGTCAAGGGCCAGGGCTTCCCAGTTCTCAGTGTCTATGCCAGAGTTTTTAAGGTTGGCTTTCAGCCCATCTTTAAATCTCTTTTCCTGTCCACCAACATTCCGTTTTCTGTTCTTAAGTTCGGAGTAGAGCAACTGCTTTGGGAGACGGTGGTCAGGCATCCGGACAACGTGGCCGGTCCAGCGGAGTTGATGGCAGAGGACCATCGCTTCAATGCTGGTGGTCTTTGCTTCTTCCAGCATGCTGACGTTTGTCCGCCTGTCTTCCCAAAAAAATTGCAGGATTTTCCAGAGGCAGCGCTGATGGAATTGTTCCAGGAGTTACATGTGACGTCTGTAGACAGTCCACGTCTCACAGGCGTATAGCAGGATTGGGAGGACAATAGGTCTATAAACAAACACCTTGGTATCCCTATGGATGTCCCAGTCCTCAAACACTCTCTGCTTCATTTGGAAAAATGCTGCGCTTGCAGAGCTCAGGCGGTGTTGTATTTCGGTGTCGATGTTGACTTTGGTGGAGAGGTGGCTGCCAAGGTAGCGGAAATAATCAACATTTTCTAATGTTACACCATTAAGCTGTATCACTGGCATTGGAGAGGGATTGGCTGGTGTCTGCTGGAACAGAACCTTGGTTTTCTCGATGTTCAATGACAGGCCGAGCTTCTCGTATGCTTCTATGAAAGTGTTGAGAGTGGCTTGTAGATCTTCTTCTGAATGCGCACAGACGACATTGTCATCAGCATACTGGAGTTCTATAACAGATGTTGTTGTAACCTTGGTTTTGGCTTTCAGTCTGCTGAGGTTGAATAGCTTGCCATCTGTCCGATAGATGATTTCCACTCCGGTGGGAAGCTTCCCATCAACAAGGTGAAATATCATAGCGATGAAGATGGAGAATAAAGTTGGGGCAATAACACATCCCTGTTTGATACCGGATTCCACCTTAAATGGGTCACTTTCGGAGCCATTGCTGTCCAAAACTGTTGCCATCATGTCATCATGGAGGAGCCGCAGGATGTTCACAAATAAACTAACTAACTACCATTAGACACCAGCAGGTGCATTGGATGTGTATAATCCAGAGCTTGGACAGGTCACTTTATTCACATCCTAAGGAGAATTCAAAGCACCGGCTTATATTTGAGGGCAGGGGGGAGATTGGAAGCCAAAGGAAACCTTTGCTAGAGAGAGCATAGAAGGATAGAATGGGCCAGGTTGTTTGCATGAGGATTGCTCAGGTCTGGAGAGACTTTTGAAGAGTGAAGGGCTGTGGGATCCGACTCCGCCTTGGCGATCCAGGCCGGCTTTTCCTTCCCTCCGCCGGCTGGGTTCCTCTCTGGCCGGAGAAGTTGCAAACCTTGTGTTGGAGGAGCGCACGTTGTATTCCCCCCTCATCGCTCGGAGGGAGGGAGGGAGGGAGGAAGGGGACATCTCCATGTTTTTTCCCCTGGCTTTTAAATGCCCTTTCCTCCTCCCGTTGGAAGAGTCTGGGTGGCCAAGAGATGCCCCGGGTCGCCTTTCCCTGCTCTAGACGCCCATTGACAAGCCACCGAGCCTGGTAGGTAGGTAAGAGAGAAAGGCAGGGGAGTTTCAGGGACTTTTCGGGGGGGAGATTGGATGGTAATCGCCCTCCCCCAAAACTTGGACCTGCTTTTCCTCCAGAATCAACACTGGGAGGGGGAGAAATGGGTCAGAACTTCTAGTTTACCCCAAAGTTTTCTTTGGTTTCAGGGCTGAAAATTGGGAGGAGGAAGGAGGAAAATGTGGAAGGGGGGGGGACACAGGAAATCACTGCGTTCCAGTGAGGCCCCTTCCACACAGCTGTGTAAAATCCACATTGAACTGGGTTATGTGGCAGTGTGGACCCGGATAAACCCAGTACAAAGCAGATATTGTGGATGATCTGCCTTTATATTCTGAGTTTAGAGGGTGTGATCTGTGCTACAAGTGGGTGGGTGGGTGGGGGGAACCCTGCTGGACTGCTTTAAATTGAACTACAAGAAAGGAGATTCCCTCTGAACATTAGGAAGAACTTCCTAACTGTGTTCAGCAGTGGAACTCTCTGCCCCGGAATGTGGTGGAGGCACCTTCTTTGGAAGCTTTCAAACAGAGGTGCTTTGAATGTTAGGGGTACTTTGAATGCGATTTTCCTGCTTCTTGGCAGGGGGTTGGACTGGATGGCCCATGAGGTCTCTTCCAACTCTTTGGTTCTATGATTCTAAGAACTTCCTGACTCTGAGAGCCGTTCAACAGTGGAACTCTCTGCCCCGGAATGTGATGGAGCCTTTTAAACAGAGGCTGGATGGCTATCTGTCGGGGGTGCTTTAAATGCAATTTTCCTGTTTCTTGGCAGGGGGTTGGACTGGATGGCCCATGAGGTCTCTTCCAAATCTATGATTCTATCGCCCTGCAAAAGTGTGTGTGTGTCTTGTGTGAGTGTGACATGGATGCTTTTTTTTAAAAAAAGGGTAACTTAGCCATTATTTTTGTGGCAGAAGTTCAGGTCTCTCTATCTTTTGGAATCAAACTGCATTAATTCCTCCTTTCTCAAAACTTGTGGGGTTTGGCTGCTCTGCGAGCGAATGCAATGAAATTGGGAGTTTAGTCCATTGTTTGGCTGGTGAGGAGAAAGGGCCGGGACTTCTGAAGTGGGAGCTCTAGGCCTGATTCAAACTACAAGAAAGGAGATTCCATCTGAACATTAGGAAGAACTTCCTGACTGTGAGAGCTGTTCAGCAGTGGAACTCTCTGCCCTGGAGTGTGGCGGAGGCTCCTTCTTTGGAAGCTTTTAAACAGAGGCTGCATGGCTATCTGTCAGGGGTGCTTTGAATGCAATTTTTAAATCCTTGTGTCTTACTTATTATTGGTTATTGTTTATATGTGATTTATATTATTTGTATTGTATTTATTGTTTTTGTTTTGTGATTTATATTAATTGTATTGTATTGTTTTTGTTTTGTGATTTATATTAATTGTATTATTTTTATTGTTTTTGTTTGTTGCTTTTGTTTATTGATGTACTGTTGGGATTTGCCTCATGTAAGCTGCTCCGAGTCCCTTGGGGAGATGGTTTTTTTTTGGTCGTGTCAGGAGCATCCTGTTGTGAGAGAATTGGCCGTCTGCAAGGATGTTGCCCAGGGGATGCCCGGATGATTTTGATGTTTTATCATCCTTGTGGGAGGCTCTCATGTCCCCGCATGAGGAGCTGGAGCTGATAGAGGGAGCTCATTCGCCTCTCCCCAAATTCAAACCTGCGACCTGTGGGTCTTCAGTCCTGCCGGCACAGGCGTTTAACCCACTGTGCCATCGGGGGCTCCATTAATTAATTATTTAACATTAATTATTTAACAATATTAATCAAACTACAAGAAATTTCCTGCTTCATGGCAGGAGGTTGGACTAGATGGCCCACAAGGTCTCTTCCAACTGTATATTTCTATGATTCTATGAGCCTTCAGCTGTTCAGCAGTGGAACTCTCTGCCCTGGAGTGTGGTGGAGGCTCCTTCTTTGGCTTTTAAACAGAGGCTGGGTGGCCATCTTCAGGGGTGCTTTGAATGCAATTTTCCTGCTTCTTGGCAGGGGGTTGGACTGGATGGCCCATGAGGTCTCTTCCAAATCTATGATTCTATGATTCTAAGAACGTCCTGACTATGAAAGCTGTTCAACAGTGGAACTCTCTGCCCTGGAGTGTGGTGGAGGCTCCTTCTTTGGGGGCCTTTAAACTGAGGCTGGATGGCCATCATTCGGGGGTGCTTTGAATGCAATATTCCTGCTTCATAGCAGGGGGTTGGACTGGATGGCCCATGAGGTCTCTTCCAACTATATGATTCAATGACTCTAAGAACGTCCTGACTATGAGAGCTGTTCAACAGTGGAACTCTCTGCCCCAGAGTGTGGTGGAGGCTCCTTCTATGGGGGCCTTTAAACTGAGGCTGGATGGCCATCTGTCGGGGTGCTTTGAATGCAATTTTCCTGCTTCTTGGCAGGGGGTTGGACTGGATGGCCCATGAGGTCTCTTCCAACTCTTATGATTCTATGAAAGCCCACTCCAAGGAGCCATCTTCTCCAAAGCAGAAGAGCACAGAGTGGGGGGCTTGGATGGATCCCCTCCTCTCCTCATTCTTGGGTCATTCTTAGAATCGCTTGCTTTTGAGGGAAGGTGTCTCTCTAGAGGCCCTTCTTGCTCAGCCCTCTGCTGCCTTTCAGTTTTAGGGCCATTCAGACAACTTAAAGAAAGGGCAAGCAGATTGGCTTGCCCACTTCCTCCCAGTGCAGGACTGCCTTCCTCCATACAGTCAGTCCTCCTGTGTCCGCTGGCCCGTTTGCGATGACAGCAAGTTGTTTGGTAGGCCACGCTTCTTGTCCCTTCTGCTTTCTTAGAAATTATTTCTGATACGTGACACGATGCCAGTGGGAAGAAGCAGCTCTGTAACCACGATTATTTAGGATAGGACCGCCCATGGGCCTCCAACAGGAGACACGGGGTGTCCATGTAAACAGTCTCAGTCAGTTTTGTCTCATTCCTACCCTTGTATTTATCGTGGACTGTGTATAGTGCGCCTGGGGATAGTGACAGCCCCACACGTGCGCCTAGCTCTTGCCAGCACCCCACTCTGGCCGGCTGCAACTGCAGGATGCACACAGCTGTCAAAAGGGATGCTTTCCAATCCAGCGGCACAGGCGGAGGTGTACCTACTTTGCGAGGTACACACCTCCCACCAAAGCATGAGTGTTACCACCACAGCCACAAACACTGTCGGTGCTTGGAGGCCTAAGTTGCACCGCAGCCACGAGCACTGTCGTTGCTTTAATCAAGCGGCCTAAGTTGCGAAGAGGAGGCGCATGTCCCCAAACGCTTGCCATTGATTCAGTTTTGTGCGTGTTTGAATAAGCTTTTGTCTTTCCCCCGCTATGTATGGACCATAGACACACCACCAGAATACAGTGGACTCTCAGTTAACCAGCACTCATGAGGATTGGTAGATGCTGGATCAATGCAGTATCTGGTTGCTTGAGAGTTGGAATAAAAAATAAGCCTAACTTAATACTATAACCCAAACTTGGGCAAACTTGGGCCCGCCAAGTTTTGGACATTAGCTCCCACAATTTATTTGTTTATTATTTACTTTATTTATTTATTTACCATATTGATATACCGCCCCTCTCAGCCCGAAGGTGACTCGAGGTGGTTTACAGTCGGCAGTCAATGCCTCCAAACAACATAAAATGCAGTTGTTTTGGATTTTAGCTCCCACCATTTACTTGTTTATTTACTTGTTTATCATTTACTTTATTTATTTACCATATTTATATACCGCCCCTCTCAGCCCGAAGGCGACTCGAGGCGGTTTACAGTCGGCAGTCAATGCCTCCAAACAACATAAAATGCAGTTGTTTTGGATTTTAGCTCCCACCATTTACTTGTTTATTTACTTGTTTATCATTTACTTTATTTATTTACCATATTTATATACCGCCCCTCTCAGCCCGAAGGCGACTCGAGGCGGTTTACAGTCGGCAGTCAATGCCTCCAAACAACATAAAATGCAGTTGTTTTGGATTTTAGCTCCCACCATTTACTTGTTTATTTACTTGTTTATCATTTACTTTATTTATTTACCATATTTATATACCGCCCCTCTCAGCCTGAAGGCGACTCGAGGCGGTTTACAGCCAGCAGTCAATGCCTCCAAACAACATAAAATGCAGTTGTTTTGGATTTTAGCTCCCACAATTTACTTGTTTATTTACTTGTTTATCATTTGCCCCCGGTGGCGCAGTGGGTTAAACCCCTGTGCCGGCAGGACTGAAGACCGACAGGTCACAGGTTCGAATCCGGGGAGAGGCGGATGAGCTCCCTCTATCGGCTCCAGCTCCTCATGCGGGGACATGAGAGAAGCCTCCCACAAGGATGATAAAAACATCAAATCATCCAGGCGTCCCCTGGGCAACTTCCTTGCAGACGGCCAATTCTCTCACACCAGAAGCGACTTGCTCCTGACATGACAAAAAAAATTTTTTTTGGCTTTATTTATTTACTATATATATATATACCGCCCCTCTCAGCCCGAAGGCGCTGAGAGCACAGTAGATGTGCTTTCCTGGTCCTTAGTTATTCCAATCTCCGTGTGTCTTGGAACGGTTTCTCCCCGTAGAGATGTTCAATGTGTTGTTGTAGGTTTTTTTGGGCTATATGGCCATCTTCTAGAAGCATTATCTCCTGACGTTTCGCCTGCATATATGGCAAGCATCCCCAGAGGTTGTGAGGTCTGTTGTGAGGTCAGTTCCAACAGACCTCACAACCTCTGAGGATGCTTGCCACAGATGCAGGTGAAATGTCAGGAGAGAATGCTTCTAGAACATAACCATACAGCCCGAAAAACCTACAACAATCCAGTGATTCCAGACATGAAAGCCTTCGACAATACATTAGATGTTCAATGTGTTGTCAAAGGCTTTCATGGCCAGAATCACTGGGTTGCTGTGAGTTTTCTGACCTCATGGGCCATCCAGTCCAACCCGCTGCCAAGAAGCAGGAATATAGTATTCAAAGCACCCCCG